GACTGGCAGGCGGCACCCTCACGCATGATCAGGGAAAGGCAAAGATGGTTGTGGGCATAGCCAGGTTGGTGAGTGATGGGGAAATGGGTGGGTGAGAGCTGGAGAAAGAGCAGGAGTGGCTGGGGTGGGACGAATGACAGGTGTCTAGGCTAAAGCAAAGGAAGATGACGTTGAAGCACGTGTTACCTTGACCTTCTGCTGCATCTGAAGGCAAGACAGAAAGCTGAGAGCCCCGCCATAACCACTGGGCTCCTGACCACAAACCCCAGGCTTCCTGTGAGACCCACTGACATCGGCACCCAGGGCAGACAGGGTGAGCTAGGGTCCCCCAGCAGCCACCCACCATCTCCCAGGACCTCCTGCTCTGCCCTCCCTGATCGCCACGCAGTGGTGGCCAAAGCTGACTTTGGGGAGAGGCTCAAGAGAAAGAGGCTTGGACACTCCCACTTCCACAAGACTGCCAATCCTGGCCAGGCTAGGTGCTGGGGACAGGTCAGTGGTTGAAGTGCACACAGTACTCCATGGGCTTGATAGTCTAGAGAGTGACAGGTGGGCAGGAAGGGGTGGCAGTCCCTGCTGGGAGACCAACCGGCCCAATTTTCTCAGGAGAAAATTGAAGGGGAAGGGCAGTGAAGTCCAAAGTCCCCACAATGGGTGGGTGGGTCCCCTAGGGAGCAGGCCTGCTCTGCCTGCTAGTCCAACTCACGATGCCTCAGCAGTCTGTCTGAGGGCAACAAGTGTGAAAACAGTGTGCTTTCCCTTTGTACCTTAGCACTCTCACAGGGACATGCAGTCACCACTGAGGTGTTTAATCTGTGCTCTGGAAACCAACCTTTTCCCTCTCGGTTCCCACTGCCACCTGAGCAGCCTCAGGCCAGTCTCTGGCCTTTTGTTGGACCACAAGCTTTGTTACAGTGCAGGAAGGAAGCTGAGATACCGTCAGCTGGGGTCCCAATAAGAGAGGGCCCAGCCAGGCATGCCATCTGCTCAACCCCTGCTACTCATGACCCTGCCTTGGCTAGGCAAAGGTACAGAGCCCTAGAGAGAGGGGCCCTGGGTGTTAACCTGATGGATTTGAAGCCCACCCAGCTCTGTCCTTTCTAGCTGTGAGAGGTCCAGGTCCACCCTGGGCCATGCTCCAGCCTGCTCCTGCTCATGTGAGGACACCACTACCTGCCAAAGGGATTTGGAAAGAATGGGCCTGTGTGTGCCAGAGCAAACCACCAACCAACAGCCCCCTCCTCCCATGCTGCTCTTAAAAGCCCCAAAGCACCCACATGAGGTCAGTTCTCAGTGTGGAGGTAATGAATAGGCTTTCAAACTCTGGTTGGCCATGGCACCCTTGCTGGCCACTGTACCCTCACTGGCCATGGCAGCACCTCTGCACAACCCCACATGACCAGGTCCTTTCTCTCCAAAGATGAGGGAGCAGAGATGGCTGGAGGGCCTACCGGCAGATGGCAAGTGATGAGTTCTGCATACACCTGCTCTGAAGGCCTCCCTTGACCTCTGGCCTCTGCCTGGTCTATTTAGCAGCAAGACCAGGAGCTGGCGTCAATGGACAAATTCAAGACTGAGGAGTCTCACTCAGTAGATTTCAAACTCTGCCCTGAAAACTTGGCCTGGGTGGACTCTGATATTCTCTCTTCCAATGGCCTCTGAGACAAGCCTGCATCCCACCCACAGCTGCTATCTCTTTTTCAGAGCCTTTGCCGGTAGATTCTCTCTCTACTCATTTGCCCTCCTCCAGCACCCCCTGAATAGTTGGTCTTGCTTTGACTGGATTCTCTGGTGGTTTTGACCTTTTACTGAGCCTTAGTCTATCCACTACTCTCCCCAACCTGGCACACCATGGTCACCCCTTCTGAATCCATTGCTTCTCATCTTCTGTAAGTTCCTCTAACAATCTTTTACAAGCCCACTTCCTTACCCATGGACTCCACACTTGCAAATCTCATCAAACGTGGGTCAAAAATGGCCCATTGTTGTTGCTGTGCTCCTCAAAGTCAGGTCCATAGTGCTGAATGTGTACTCAACAGGTGTGGGCTCCTTTTCCTGGTCATTAGTGCCTGAGCACTGTGATATGACAGCTACATACACAGCAACTACATGGCATTAGGGATTGTAAGTCTACATGGGCCAAATACTGATGGACTGGGAATGCCATGTTCTGCAAGGCTGACCAATGTGGGGAGGTTTCAAGTTTGCATGTGGAGAGTTCCCCCGAACATGCCAGGTACATGTGTGCCCATGATCTAGGGCTGGTGAAGCTGGGGGATGATCAGAGCATAAGGATCGTATTGAGGGTTCTTTCTGTCTCAGTCTCCATGGCTCTCTCATGGAGGAATTTTTAAAAAGTGATCTAGGAATGACTTGAAAGACATGAGAGGGTGTGTGTGTGTGTGTGTGTGTGTGTGTGTGTGTGTGTTATACAAGTACTATGTGTGTGTGTGTGTTATATGCAAATACTATGCTATTTTCTATAGCATGTGAGGGTCCAGGAACTAATCCCCACCTCCTGCCCCCACTGCAGATTATTGCCTGGCCAGGAGGAAGCCCTAGTTGTCCTCCCAAAGTGGCCTTGGCCAGACTCTTGCTCTCTTCCCCCAGATGGGGAAGGAATAAGAACACAGAGAGACCCTAAACATAAAAACAGTTTCAAATGAGAAACTCTGGACTTAGAGAAGGCCACTTGGATGGAGCTATGTCCCAGAGTCCTCATCTCATTCCAGTCTGCCTGCCAGAGTGCCAGCCCTCAGAGGAAGCTGCAGGGTCTCTTAGACAGAAACTCCTGTATTAAGGATGAAGGCTTCTGCTTTTCCTGTCCAAATACAAGAGCGAGGTCAAAGGTCAGTGCTCTGACTACCTGCCTGATTACCTTGGGCTCCTTGCTTCAGAAACAGCCCAAGACGTTGTTGCAGAACTGCCCGCTCCATATTAAGTGCAACTCGGCCCCCTTGCCCAATGTGGCCAAAAGTCCTCCTTCCAGGTATCAGTATTCAAAGCCATCAGGTGGTTCCTTTGCTTCTGAGCTGGGGAAGAGGGACAGCTCAAAGAACCATCTAGCCCTTAGCCCTGTACTCCTTCGGACCCTTCCCCATTTATACCACTCTAAAGTCAAGCCTCTGGATCCATGGTAGGTCAATGGGATCTCAAGCAGGGTGACCATGAACAGCTCTGTGGATTGTACACTGAGACATGAACAGTGCCTCAGGAGTACTACTGTGTACCAGAGCTGTATATGGAGGCCCTGGTCAAGAATGTTCCACAAGAGCAAAAGGAGTAAATATAGCCAAGTGAAGAAATGATGACTTCACACTTAAAGCATCCTGGAGTCCAGGTGGTTTCCTGGGAAGCTCAGCTCCAGGCTAGAATTAAGGGTGGAGGTTCTTCAGCTCCTTGTCACATCCAAGAGAATGAGGAAGGAGATGACAGAGAAAACTAAACTAGACACACACTTTAGTCAGCCACCAGCAATGCATCGGTGCTGTGCTCTACACCAACACGTGTGGTCCTCCCACTCACTCTCAACTGCATCCCTGCAGGGATCCCTGACATGGGGCACAGTGAGCTTCTACAACAGGATTCTATGTGTAGCTACTCAGTTTACCTATACCAGACTAAAGGCAATGGCATAAAATGGAAGCAACCTGCTACTTAAATGTCAAGCAGGCAGAGGGTAGGGGTGGGACCAACATGGTGTCCTCTCTCTTGCTTTCCTCCCCTTCAAGGCAACTCACCACTTAACATACTTGAAATGTTCTGGTTCATGGGGAGGGCCACTGCCAGAGGTCTAGAGGCCAGCTGCTCTGAGACCCCAAACTGCTGCCCTCTGTCCTGTGGGAGCCTACAGCATCAGAGGGCACTGAGGGCCCCACATCCATGGGAAAACATCTCAGGCCACAGGGATATCCCAGGGCTCCCTCTTGTTCTACAAGAAGGAAACACCATGAAGCTTGCTGAACTCTGTCCACACAGAAATATGGCCTCCAGGACCTGAGCTCTTAGAAGGTCATGGTCAGTCCCCTCTGCCTGACCAGACCACTTTACATTTCAGTTGGCCTAAATCTGTCCCCAGGGATTTCCCAAAGTGCCACCCACCTAGGCCCCTGCTTGGAGTCTTGGAGACTGTGGTAGGAAACCTCCAGCAAGCCCTACCCCACCCACCCTGTGACGGGGGCAACCCTGCTTACGTTGGATGCTGAAGCAGAACTTCTTCTGCTGATAGGAGAGGTAGCTGGAGACCGCTCCAATTAGGGCCATGGCCAGGGCACTAGCCACCCCAGCAATGGTGCCAGTCTCTGCCGACATGCCTGGGTAAAGGAGAAGGTGGGAGGGGAGGGAAGGTCAAAGCCAGACCCCACATGAGTCTGGCCTACTCAAGCTGAGCTCAGCTGTTCACATGCCCACAGCCTGGGTCAGTGTCAGAGGGCTGTGCCAGTGTCTCTAAGGCACCATACTGACCAGTGGCTTGGGGTCTACTTCATGTTTCTCTTTTTCTAGAACTTCCATTTGGAGAGGCTGGAAAGTAGACTGGGCCACTTCCCTTGGGCCAAAGTATCATGCTAACTCCTTTAAAACACTGCACTCCTCAGCTACTTGCATCATGATTCATTATGGGAGATATCCAGGGAAGGCAAGGCAGGGCAGGGGAGGGCCAAGTCTGAGACCAGAGTGGGCCCACATAACTCTTCTTTATAGTTTCCAACAGCAAAGGTTCGGGACTCTGAGACTCACCAGATTCAGAGTCATCACTGCTGCCATAATGCCCATCACCTGGAGAAAGGACAAAAGACTTAGTATCTGTTATAACTCTGTGACCAGCCAACCCCCTTAGTAAGGCAGCAGTGAGGTGTAGGACAGGATCAGCCTTCTGATCCCACCTCTGTGATGGGCCCCAACTGCTAAATCCCAGTGGACTTCTTCCACCTGCAACTTGCAAAGCCCAGACATCTAGTAGAAAGTGCAGCATTGAAACGATGTATGCGCGCAGACACAGAGCGCTGCACCCACACTCTCCAGGCACAACACTCTGTCTCATGTCTTTGCTATCTGGTGGGACAGCTGCCCTTAGCACCCCATTTTACCAGGGAGGGGGCAGAGGCTGGACAGCAAGGGGCCGGTGGCAGTGAGTCCATGCCAGGAGAGCAACTCTGAACAATATCACATGCCTCCCATGCATGTATTGCCCAATATAGTTGGAATAGAAACAAAGGCAAGCTCTGGGTCCCTCATCTGCTATTTAGAAATTCAGGAGGCTCTGAAATGGCACCGAGATGGGAAACAGAATCATGTTGACAGGGATGGGGAAAGTGCACAGAAAAAGAGCTGCTGTGGTTATGAATGGCAGCAGGAGGGAGCCTTGTGTGATAGACCTGTTTGTCCACTTACTGTGGTGGTGGCCATATGAACTTCCACATGGGATAAAACCAGAGAGCCAAACACACACACCTCTCCAGACACCAACTCCTTGACCAGCAACCAGGGCCATTCCAGGACATCTGGTAGCCTTGAGATTGCCCTTCATTTCACCCTCTTCTTCTTAGGGTCCAATGCTCATTAATGGAGGCCAATTGTGTTGACAGGACCTGGGCTTCTTGGGGGAGCTTCCCTAGGATACTGGAGCCATTGAGATTTGGGAGGATGCAGAACTCTGCTGGGGCTGTACATGGGGGCCAGGGGAACAAAGGAGCTCTGTTTTTTCCACTCAGTTTTGCTGGGAACCCAAATCTACTCTAAAAAGTGAAGTCTAGGGACCAGCAGATGCTGTAATGGTTATGTTGCTGGACTCCCACTTGGCCAACTACAGTTCATGGACGTGGTGTGGTGGCTTGAAACTCATGCCAGGTGAGTGTGCATGTGTGCCCAAAATCCTGAGAAGAATAGAGGAGAAGGAATTGCAGCATGGCCATGCCCCAGGGGGGTGATTTCTCACTTTCTGACTGTCTCTCGGTGAGTGCACATGCCCTATAGCAAAAAATCTCTCTTAAAAAAAAAAAAAAAGTG